ATTTGTTAACTTTTTGGGTTCTGCACATTTTATTTTGTTGCCTGATTGGCTGCTATGAAGACATGGGAGAGTCATTTAAAAGCTGAGGATTCATTTTCAAGAAATACATAAACTTTACTCGTTTCTGGCCAGTTCGTGTTTTTGTTTATTTGTCTATCCTTTTACTGTGAAACAGTACGGTGGAACCTATGATATTTGTGCAATAATATGCAGAAATTTAGGAATCTGTCTAGTTGTAAGTTTATTTGCTTTCGTTGTGTGATTTTAGTTCATGCAAGTGCGGCAAATTACTGCTAAGCAGAGGAAAAGGAAGTTGAAGAGCAGGAAACCGATGACTCCAGTCATTTCCAAAGTCAAGAAATATAAAATCAAGGGTTATTCGTATGTACATGACTTTAAAGATACACATCCATTTACACATATATATGTATTTCATAATGCATAAATGACACGTGCTAATATGTTTCTGTTTCGAATTGCATTGATCAGGTCTTTTAAGGGCAGATTTAGGGTAATGAACGATGGACAGATTCGTAGGTGGAAGGAGGGGAAACGACACAATGCACATTTAAAGGTCTGGCAACATTTTTTGTTTTAAAAATTGAGTAGTAAAGATTATAAATTAAAGTAAGATGTTTGAATTTGTGTCATTGGTACTTCTAAAAGTAATTCCTAATATTTTCAATTTGTTGCTTGGGACATTAATGCTAGTGTTTTCGTTTTTATTTGTTTTCTACATTCCTGCATTTGTTGCCTAAGCTGCCCTAGATATGAAGGTTCCTTAAATANTGCTAGTGTTTTCGTTTTTATTTGTTTTCTACATTCCTGCATTTGTTGCCTAAGCTGCCCTAGATATGAAGGTTCCTTAAATAGGTCAATATTTGGAAAAAGTTGCAATACTGATGATGGTTTTTATCACAGCTCGGGGAACTGAAGGCCTGAGGCTGTTTAGTGACAGAGGCCAATGCTTATGGCCAAAGCTGAGTTGTGATATAATATAAAGAATAACTGATACCATCGTTCTACAAAATGACATTCTTCCACTGACTTAATCATTATGATTTATGAACTACGTTCAGACTGCCCCTTTTCTTTCCCTTTCAAAAAGAACATATTAATGATCCTAATGGAGTAGAGCTATACATCTATCATATATGTATACCTATTAAATTGGTTTGCAAGATGTAGTGATAAGGTTTAGTCATGTGGTGAAATTTATATATATTAACTTTTGCAAAACGAAGGAAATATAAAATATATTAATAGTTTTCATCCATATTTACATTGTGAAAACAGACTAACAGAACATATTATAGGCCAACAAAGAACTCCAATAGCATATATTCATGTTCACTAAGCTTGGAGATCCTTAGGAGTTTTACAACGACAAACTGCCAAACTTTTTGAAGCCTGTGGCTCGCAAGGCTGACCTATTTAAGAATAAATAAGCTAATGACTCAATAAGCAATGGTTTGCATGAATGCACAATGAAGACGAACATGATTTCTACTGTACATCCTACAACGTTAAAAAAAGGCATCTCATCATTGTAAACAATATCCTGTTCATTATATTGATCAACTTGATTGTTAATCATATTTTTCTTTTCGGCCTCCTTTACTCTTCTACTAATTATGAACTAGAATCATGAACCATCTTAGCTTTATCTTAATTGGTCCTTCTCGAGTGTATAATCAATCCTTCATCTCCGTTATCACCACAGAGCCTAATCACGCTCATGAACTCTCAATTACGGTGCACATGTTCTATTGCCAGTAGAGCTTCTCCCATCACACTCTATACCACAATCCATCATCATCAACTATATAGTCTCTCCAATTAACCTCCTCAACGGAGAGTTTCCCCACCACCATCTATTCATAACATGTAGTGTGCTCAAGGGCTATAGCAAAGAGTAAGAAAATTTCTCATATAATATTTTTGTAACTTAAAGCATTATTGAACTTGCTGATTGTGAATCATATAAATGCATGCACGTGTCATGAATGAACTGACATCATTGACAAACATATTATTCTTCACATAGAATGCCATACTTTGTGTATTGCAGGCTACATAATCACACTTGCTCACATATGAATACCATGTTACAATAAGGGTTCTATCATATCACATCGAAGTAATGTCTTGCATTATAGTTGAAATGCTTTCTAACATGTCTCAAATACTGATAAAAGAATGGAATAATGAATATATGAGATCTCCCTGAGCCGCATCAATGACCTGCCCATCGAACTGAGCCCCATCAGTGACATGCCCATTCCAATTGAGCAATTTCTGGGCTTCAATAAACTTATCCAAAAGACCAAACACCCTTATGTTCTCATACCCAAATTAAAGTGCTCCTATTATATTGATATGGGATGTATGTTTTGAGGGGTAAGGGGAAGTGGTTACATACTGCTTGACTGTCTAGAAAGGAAAATCCTCATTGGAGCTGCTGCATCCTTGTTGGTTGATTATTGTTAGTTTTTTTAATAATCACTTGTTATGCAAGTGACATAGTTACTGGCAACAGTTTGCCTGAGATGAAAGATAAGGATGCTAGGACATAACAGCTGAGTAGCAGAGTGGTGGAACAGTTTAAACTCAACCATTTTATTTCAAGCACAACTCTGACGATTCTCGATGTCTTTATAAGTTAGTGTTGTGATTACGTGATGACATGTTTAAATACCTTGTTGTTTATTGGTTTTGTTTGAATTTTGAATATACATACCTGTCAGCAAAATCATTAGTTATGCTGGTGGTTTACTGCATGAAATAACAGTTGATTTTTTACTTTTTGTCTCGCTTTTGCATTTATGAACTGCACAAGTCAGCAATTTGGTTTTCTTTATTGGCATAAGATTCTCTAGAAGATCCACAACATTCTTTTCTCAGTTTTATATTTTTTTTGGGTATAAATTGCTATGCAAGCTTTCTTGTATAGCTTAATACTTCCACATTCGAAATTTCAAAGCTCATTTAGCTACTGATACAAGAGTGATATTGAGCTAATCTGTTATTTATTGCAGTCAAAAAAATCTAAACGTAGACTCAGACAACCTGGTATAGTCCCTCTGGCATATGCAAAGGTGATGAAGAAACTCAACTTTTGTGGTTGAACCAAGTGCCCTCAACTGCTGCTAACATTTCTTGCTTGAAACTGGAGCATTCGGGGATCTGATTTTGTAGGATGATTGTCTTGTCAATTAATTTGACATAATTATATCTAATTGAGAGGTTATAGGCTCTTTTGCTGGATGATCCAGAATGGTGGTAGACGTTTGAATAGTGAACATTTCCCGTTTGTTAAACCATTTCTTTCACTTTCTGCTCGATGACTCTCATTTCTATAATAAGCACAGGGTCATGTATTTTTTCCTGTAACAAATGCAAGACTTAGAAATTGTTGAAGATTGTTGTTTCGTTATTCATGTTTTATTTGTTATTTTTTTTCTTTCTGTATTACTTGTGTCTCTAGTGTAGGTAAGATTAAAAATATTCAGTAGCTCAATCCGGCAGGTTGAACTTTTTCAGTGTCAGATCCATGAGCTTATTTACTAGTATACAAGTTCAAAGAAAGATAACAAAGAAGAGACAGATTAAATATGTCATATCAGTAACTTACACATTCCACTACATTAAGAGGACTATCTTGATTGTGGAGGCTATTTTATTTATTTATTTTTTCACCACTGAGTATCTCAAGTTAAAAAAACTCGAGAACGGTTGACATCTGATTTTATAGAGTAAATGCCCTGCATTGCATCCTCGGTAGCATTTGGTGATATGTTGATGAGTCTTTGAGAAAGTGTATGTACTATTGGCAGACAATATGAAAACAAAATATTCTTCGGCAATATGTTGATGAGCCTTGATAATGTGTATATATTATTGGCAGACGATTTGAAAACAAAATATTCTTTGTTACTTAATGTCCCAACACGCCTCTGTATTTGCCTCTATTGCGTTCAGCTTGAAGATTTTCGCGAGTCCAAAATTAGAGGTTTTTGGGTTCATATTCTCGTCAAGTAATATGTTACCGACTTTTAAATCTCTGTGAATTATCTACGATCATGAGTATTTGTGAAGGTAGAGCAGTCCTTGAGCAATCCAATTGATGATATTCAAACGTTTATTAGTGGTAGCCAATAACTAACCACATTAAATTGTAATTATCCAAGAAAAATAATCTTTCCGACTCACTATAAGCAAATGATGAATGATAGGAAAGGAAAAGATGGTTTGTGGGAGTGGACATGATTATCAATCATTAAGATCATGGAAATTCAAACTAACAAACAAAATATAGTCATAATTTGAATACATAAATCAATTTTCATTCTCGTATAAAATATTGTTTAATGAGTAATAACAATGAGCAATTTTGACAGCATCCCCTAAATAAAAGATGAATTATGATAAAATTTTTATATTCTATTTATTTTTACATACAACTATTAACTATTTAATACTCCATGAATATTTATTGAATTTTCCTCTATTTGTGAAGAATATAAATAATTCATCAAACAATCAAAGTAAACAATAGTTTAAAAGCTTTTTAAGTGATTGAACGATTTCATTTTTCGATCTTGAAAAAGTGTCCGACAATGACGTGATGAAAAGTAGTGCTAACATGTCAGGACTGTGTGTAAATTGAAAAGAAGTCAATAAGAAATGTTTCAAATAAATACAAAATTATGGTGCACACAAATAATGAGTTATTTCCAATGACCTAAAATCAATTAATGGGCCGTATCCAATTAATACAAAATTAAGGTCTCCATTAATTTATATATATACATTAACAATAAAATTAAACATTAAGTTTGGTTTTGGTTCTCAATTCTAGAATTAGAATCAAATCATAACCAGAATCAAATGGTTCTCAGTTCAACGAACCAAAATTATATATATATATATATATATATATTATCAAGATTTTAAATAACTAAACTTTTAAGGAAGATTCAGCACGCAAAATATAGTCCTTGAAATAACAACAAAATGAAGAAT